TTGATGAAAGATTCCTACCGGGTTTTCTAGAATTGTTAACGGTATCGTCTATATCCATATCAGAATTATCGAACACATCACTTGATGCACTCTGTATACGACTGGACGAAGCGGAATTTGTTTTATTTTTATTTAAGGTTTTGTTTTTCGCGTTTGTATTATTTATATTATTGTTGCGGTTCATTGTGCGTTGTCGTTATCGCGACTTAGGTTAGATAAGATAATTAGCTGCCGCCGGCAACGCCGGGGAGCGCGGACGACAATTAACGTATTTATGTAGATGCCGTATATACGTATAGTAATTATAATTACCGATTTTTGGATGGTTTGAGCTTGAGAGGTTGAAATCCCTTTGCGATGACGGCAGGAGGAAATACAGGCCGGTATCCGGATTTTTTTGACACCATTCACAGTTAATTTGGTTAGGTTAATCTTGAGAAATAAGAAACTGCGTGCATGGATAACTGAAACGTGCGTTGCGGACAACAGTCACGGAGCGAGTGCATTAACATTAGGATACGATTTGTAGAACTATTCGTTAAAATGTGCATGGAATGAATGGAGTTATTTTTTTTCAGTGTTCTGCCAAAACTGGAGTTAAAAATCACTGAAATCGGACCATACTAGGAATGGAAACGTAGTAACGTACTATTTTTTGATATTCGATTTGCAACAAAACCCTAAAACAATTACAACATAAAACCAGGATAAATTGTATTAGAAATACATTTTAGGTTCAAATTTGAGTAAAATTAGATATTTAAACCAAGAGTGCCCGTAGAAAATTATACCGTGTGAGGGGAGGGGGGATAACAAAAAAGTAACACGGACATTATTTTTTTTTTTAATTAATAAAACAATTAATATTAACTGAAATAAGGGCGCCAGCAAGAATTTTTCAAGGAAGGGGGCAAATTATTTTCATATTTAAATGTTTATTTCATGCTATTAGACATTAGTGATAAAGTATTGATTGTGACATGTTTTCTTTTTCTTTCATATAGGTAGAGAATGTAAAAATTATTCATGAACTATATTATGCAGCTATAGTTAAAACTTAATCTCACAGCATATTCATTTCAATTAATTAAAATACAATTTAAAATTGGTGTCCACAATCAGATGCGTATATACGCGCCATACAGGTGGTAAGAAAGGCTGTCATCGTTTTCGGACATTGGTCTATAAAAAAAAATTAAGATAAACTCATAACAAAAAAAAAAAACAATAATACATCACTATTTTTATTGTACCTACCTATAATATTGATTTAAGTTTAAAAATATATACTTGTATAAATATATATCTATAAATAAATATGTATATATAAATAAACCGGACTTTTACTAGATCGGACTTTTTTTTGCGAGTCTTTTTTTATTGGACTTTTGTTCGCAGGACTTTTTTTCGTCGGACTTTTAGGTAGAATACCACGTATACCTATACAGTATACTTAATATTGCTATTGTCGGTGCCCAGTGCAGGATACTATATGGCGGCTACGGATCTGTAAATAATATTTTATTACTGTAATATCCGATGAGTGTTAGTAGTTATGGTTTTCACATCCGATAATATTTATTGCAACTGATTTTATTGATAGTTATTACTTATTAGTTAACTAATACTGTACATTGTGAACGAGATGTACCTATAGTGGCAGTCGTCAGTCACATACTCACGTCATATCTAAAAGTGATATTATGTTGTGGCAGTCTCACGTATATGTATGTATTTCCGTTTTATTTTTGTGCAATTTTGTTTTGGGAAAATGGAGAAACAAATACAAAAAAAATTTAAAACAGAAAAAGGTAAGTATTTTAGTTGATGATTATAAATATAGTGAATTTAAAGTTCTGAAAAAGTGAGGGAACATTCCGTATTGCTGGTAAAAGGCGATAGCAATCGTGTTAACGATCTAAGGGACAGTGGCCTAAAATGGAACAGCAAGTTTTAGCCGAAAAAGGAAGGGTGCATTTTGGCTGAAAAGGTGGCCACCCGCCGTAACTATCCTGCAAACCCAGATGGCAGATGCTCTATAACAGGGGTGGCCAACCGGTCGATCGCGAGATGAATTCAAGTCGATCGCGACACCCTTTCGCATTTTCTTAAATTTTTGAACTATTTGTGTATCTTTGTATATCCCACGAATATAAAAATTAGATTTAGAAAAAGACAATAAATAACTATGAAAAACAAGATTATACTCTGATATCTATTAACTATCGTATTATAGGACGGATAGCTCGCATTACTTCCTATTAATGGCCTTTATCGCTTTCGTATAAACTGATACATCGAACCTTCGACAACCTTTCTTTTTTTTTTGGTCGATCGCGACCACCTAGAAAAACTCGGAGGTCGATCGCAGGTCTATCAAAGTTGGCCACCCCTGCTCTATAACGATGATACATACCCGTTAAGTTGTGCTGCCGGTTGGTATCATCCGCCTATAATAAACTTTTTAGTTTTTTCAGACGATGCATATCGTGCGTAAAATCGTCATCGTCGCAATCGATATACGTATGTGTATGTCAATATTATTATTATAATTATATCATTATCGTTAGCAGTCCGTGCCTCTTGTATTCGGGTATAGCACTATAGCTAACATATATCGGATGTTGTTTTGTGATCATGTAAATTGTAAACCCCTGTGAACATGGCAGCACAACATTAGCAGACATCGATGCAATCAATCCAACAAATTTGTTGGTGGATTGTTGGACACTGTTGGACAACTTTCAGAATTTGTTGGACATTATTTTCACCGGGGGGCCAATTTCCAATTTTGCGCTGCCAACTTCACGCCAGCAGCGCAACACATTGTTGGGACATGTTTTTTGTGCTAGATTGGTTCGTCTCCATTTGTTGGACACTGTTGGACAACTTTCAGAATTTGTTGGACATTATTTTCACCGGGGGGCCAATTTCCAATTTTGCGCTGCCAACTTCACGCCAGCAGCGCAACTCATTGTTGGGACATGTTTTTTGTGCTACAAAGGTACATCCAAAAATATGTCATGGAATGGTGCGCGTCTCAAGTGTAAATTAATACTTTTTTCAGAGTCGTGGTATTTTGTTAAGTATCCTTTCAGTTAGCACTATGTTACATAATCCATATCAAAATTTCCACTATAGAATCATAAAAAAAGTTGCTCATTTTGTGTATACTGTATTCATAAAAACAAATTGTTTTACATTTTATTTTATATTATTTGACTAATGTGTGTGCAGTATATTTTGTGATATTATTACTACTAACATAATTTATATATTATATAATATATTTATATTTATATCTTTATAATGTGTAATTTACTAATCTACGTAAAAACGGATAGATTTGGATATTTTGACCGAATACGTTTAAAACTTCAATCTGTTTAAACGCAGAAACAGTGTTATTTTATTCGTTAACTTTTATGTGGAGTGTTACTTTTTAGGGGATAACGAAGATTTAACATTTTGAATTCTATTTCAGACCAGAAGTATATTACGACCCGGTGATACTAGAACAAGAATTAGATCGGTTAAAAAGGGAATATTCTGAGATAAAATATCGGTGATGGGAACTAGGAGAAGAAAATACACTATTAAAAACAGATATAAAAACAAAAGAAAAAGAAAAAACAGACCTACATCATTTATATAAAGTAGGTATTCACTTTAATTCTAATTTTGAGTAGCTCAAACTCACAATGAGCTCAAGCTCACATACTGATATTTACTGTGAACACATCTTCAATAAAAAACAAATATTCTGTGTTGCTCTGTAGGTATTTCTATAATTTTTTTTTCTTACGTATAATTTATGTTGCATTAAAGTGTGTACCTTTGTATTTATTTAGTTAGTTAGACCAAGGACAAATATGGACCAATTATGTTTATATAATATTAAATATATCATTGTATTGTATTTTTTAATAGGAAATGTATTAAGTTAATAACAATTTTAAATCCATAAACAAACTCGTTAAATTATTTGGGTGATAATATTCTTGTTAGGGAACAAGAAATATTAAATACGATTAATACAATTATTAATATAAAACATTATCAATGTATTTTGTTCATACTTATAATTCTTTATTGAATGTAGATGGCTTAGAAATTAAATATATAAAATATTTTGAACCTTTGTTGTTTATTTTACTCTGAAATGTTTCTTTTAGCATGATTTGAACAACTATTCAATATTGTAATATATGTATCTGCTATACCCATATATAATGACACATTTACTCCCAAATTCTGATATTATACTACAATAATATCTTATTTTAGTAGTTGTTTGTTCTTTGAATAATTGACTCATTGCTGCATTAAAGTGGAGAGTGTTGTATATGTCGAAAGATTCAAAAACCGTTACTGTATTCTCTAGAGAAAAAAAGGACAGGAAAAGTTATTTTTAGAAAGTTTTAATATTTCACTTGGAAATGTCCACGTTTCTAACACATATTACAGTAATAAACAACCTTTGCATTTGTAGGTACTTTTATTTTTAATATCCCAACTTCCATGGATTCAGAAGACCGTTTGTCACATCTTTATATAGTTCTTCAATAATATGGTGTAAACAATATCTTCAGGTATGTATAATTGTTTCAAAAAGCAATTCATTATTAAATATACACTATTTTTAGAACAACTAACAAATAATAATTATTAAGTATTAAGTGACAGTTTTAACAGGCTATCAGTTAAAAAGTAAACATTCTGAATTTAAAAAAAAAAATGGATTTACCTCATTATTTTATTTAATAAATTAACTGGTATATTCTATTCTGTTAAATGGTTATTAGATAGTAGATACCATAGTTTAATAACTAAGTTGAATTAGAAGTAAAGTGGTACCAAGAATTGTTTTAACTCTTTAAAATACCTGTATGACAGTCATATTTACAAATGTTATGGACATATTTTAAACATTGTTTATCAATAAAATTAACTTATAGTTAAATACTAATAATTAGTAATAGTAATAATAAAACCATTAATACATTTTAATGTATATTCATCCAATATTAATTAATATTGATGTATACTAAGTAGAAAACATATATATTGAGCAGTATATTACAAACATTTTCAATAAAAAATCATACACTAATTTAAATTATATTACTATCTATCCATTGTAATATAACAGGAGGTAGTCTGAAATATATATTAGAAGCTGTCTTTACTTTATCCAGATTGACTGAACACTTGTACAGACGATATTCTCTCAAAACATTTTTATTTTCTATAACCGCTACAGGTAGTATTAATTGCATTACCTAAAAATATAAACATAATTGAAAAATGTGAACATATACAATATTAATAAAACTAACTGATATTCGTTCAAATGCTTTTATAATAACTTGTCTTTTTGTTATAAGTAATGTTGAATTTCGCAATGCAAATTTACAATAACGATCATAAATCATTTCAAAATTAAATGGTTCTTGATCATAGATTTCTGAGTGATGGCAAATGGAAATCATTAAACAAAGTTCGAGAACTGATAGCCCTGTGAAAGAAGACTCTAAAAATGTTTTGTTGTCTTAAATATATCAAAATATTTACCTAATAAATTGACAAGAATCATATCTTTTTTAAACAATGTAGTGTAGCTATTTGATAAATTTTCTACAGTCAATATTTTGTCATCTGATAAATTTGAAAGAGCCATAAACTGAAAATAAGTTAAATATTACACTTTTCATTAAATACCAATTAAAAATGTTAATACTTACAAGGAGCAGATTTAATTTTGTACTATTGTTGCTTGATTTCAATAGATCCTTAATCAAACTTTGTATTCTTGCATCTGATATTAATGATTCAATATTATTGTTCCAGTTTTTCAAAACATCAGACTTTACTTTACAATGTTGGCTAATTGTAAGAGAATGTTTAAATCTTTCTAACAATTGACTAGTTTCTGATGGAGGTTTCAACATCATTATGTTATGGGAAAACCTAGATTTGACTCGTTTCTCAAGTAATTCAATAACATCAATACGTGATGTTAAGCCAATAATACATAATGGATTCTAAAATACAGAAAAACATATTATATACTACACTGTTATCTCTATAGAGTTAAGTACTTAACTTGTTGAGATTGAACAGAATCAAACAAATTATACAACAATGTTTGATTAGTATGAGAACAAAACATATCAAATTTATCTAATACCATAATAATTGATTTTGAAGCTGTTTTGTTTCCTGCACGGAAGCTCTCCAATAAAAAACTTATATTATCTATAAAAATTATTAACATTAGAATAATAGTTATGTAATATGAGTAATCAAAAATGAGGTTCCAAAAAAAATTCAAGTACCTACTATAAAAGATAGTTCATACAAAATAGAGCCACACCAGTTTTATTATATTTTACTTCAAATTCAACAAGTATTTTAAAATGTGTTTTCTATTGATTTTTTTTATATATATAAAGCAGTTGCGCAGTTGTTTTCTTAGTAGTGGAAACCCGATAAACCTCACCTCCCAACATCTTATAGACCTTCAAACTTATTAATCCACACATAATTTCAAACAATGTACTCCCATCTTCTCAATTTGGCTTTAAAGCTATAAACAATACGGTAAATCAGGCACACAGAGTGCAGAGATGCAGTCTCTACCTCACTTGAAAACAAATGCTTCTGAAATTGAACCTTTTTAAAGATCTCCCAGGCTTTCGACAGAGTTTGGCATGAAGATCTTCTGTTTAAACTCCGTAAATTTCTTCCTTCAGTACTAATTCTACTATTGGAATCATATCTGGCAGACCTTCATTTTCAAATACTCCTTTCAATGCTCCTACACTTTAAATATAGCCATAATTAGTTCTGCAGTTCCTCAGGGAGGTGTTCTCTCTCCTAAACTGTTAAATATTTATGTTGCTGATCAACCTTCTTCACAAAAAAATCTTGGTGCTGATTATGCAGATGACAAAGTCATATTTGCAGTACACAATGATCCAGTAATTGCTTTGACAAATTTAAAATCTCATCTAGATCTGTCTGAATAGTATGCAAAATGGCAAATAAAATAAAATAATAACAAATCCGTTCACACAACATTTACGAAGACACACAATTTGCCCCAACATAACTCTAAATAATCTACCTATCCCTTGAAACAGTTAAATACTTAGGTCTAAACCTTGATAAAAGACACATGGCAAAATAAAAAATTAATACTCAATGCTCCCTTCCGATCTTTAAAAGTTTTACTCTCAAAAAAAAATTTATCAACCTTAAAAACTAAATTACAAATTTATAAATCTCTACTGAAACCCATATGGACGTATGAGATGCAACTTTGAGTGTCGACAAAAGATAACATTTAAATAAAATTCAGGCATTCCAAAATATCACACTTCAGTAATGCTCCATGCTTTATTTCAAACCTGATCTTACACAAAGACCTAGGTATAAAAACGGTAGAAGAAGAAGCTGCCATTTTCTGTAAACATTTTCACATGAGATTAGAAAATGACGAAAATCCTCTAATTTAGGGCATACATATCTCGTCACTTCCTGAAAATTTTCGTCGAAGACTTAAAAAAATAGTGTAGAGATCATTTGACTTAATCCATAATAATGCAACTTCTAAGTTAAGTGCTACTAATGGGTGGCTTCTTATTCACGCGACCTCATGTTTTTATTATTCAAATTTCACAAATACTTATTGTGCATAACTGTATAGATTGAATATTTCTTGTAAAAATCAAAAAACAAATCAGAGGAAGTCTTTTTAAAGAAGGATAAAATTGATTGAAATGTTAACCGGGGGATTGTAACAATAACAATAGAATACATATTAAATTTCAATAGATATAAGATATTATTTTTAAAGCAGGTTAAGGGTCCCCAAATTGAAATTAATATAATAATATAATGGAACGCAATAGAAATATATGGATAATATTTCAGTTAGTGTCCTGTTTATACTCTGTCTCATATAAGAGTAACCACTGTTAGTAACCAAGTTTTGTTCAGTTACACTGCACCTGTTAGTTTTCATCAATTTACGTTGTCAGCTTTTGTTTCTGATGATCTACCATGCTCAGAACCACGCCATTTGAGGTATTCTTATATGATACAAGAGTAGGCATGTTTATCAAAATAACAATTGCTAATGTAGAAAATATATTTAAAAAATACAAACCAGCATAAGATCCTTCAGCAAAAGTTCCATCCAAATTTTCCATTTGGAGTTGTTGTATGATACTTTTAAGTGCTAAATTATCATCAGTATGAATAAGACCGTTTAATAATACCAGTTTATGTGATTCAGGTGAAAGAGATTTTATAACTGATTCCATTAACTGTAAATGTAAATTTAAACAAATAAATATGTACCTATTATACAATTGTATTTCAATAAAAATATACCATTGATTTTCCACAACCGCGAGGCCCAAGTATAATCGCTGAGTCACTTTCTCCAAAATCAGTAGTTTTTTTAATAATCTGTAAGAGTTCATTTTGTTCTTTGTCAAATCCATATAGTTGGTCATTCAAAATAAGTTTTTTTTTTATATCTTGAATACAAACAACTAAATCGATTCCCATGATCTAAAAAAAAATTTATTTAAAATTTGGATAAACAGAATTATTACAATAATTATTTTAGGTGGATGGATTTACTAAGCATACTCCCTAGACAAAACATAAAATAATAAACAATATAGGTTTATATGGAAAATTAAATAGAGCAAGACACATAACAATAAATGTAAGTAAAGCATCTTCTTAAGAATATAGATAATTTATTGAACTTGACTGAGTACCTAGGCTTCTGCAATCTTTTAAAATATTTAAAACAAATCCTTCTACTAAATGCTTAAGAATATACTTCTTACCTATTAAGAATTGAATCCAAAATTACTAATTCAACAAAATAAATGAATAAATGATTGTTAACGACTTTTTGAATCTTTAAAAAATCAACAACAACCTCCAGCACATACTACATCATAATACTATATACTTACAATGGGGCTTTTGTCTAGATCCCTTGATTCTATTTGCAATAGACAACGGTAAATAGGGTAATAAGAGTATATTGAAAATGTCCGATCCTGAATAGGAACAATCGGTGTCTATGATCACAATATCCAATGAGTAGTGGATTAAAACATTGATGAACAGCAACTTCTACTGTAGTACTACAACCAGTGAACGACTAATGACTATTGAGTAGTAACTAGTAACTATGGACTAATTCAAAAATAGAGGATTACTGCGAGAACGCGAGAAATGAACTTGCTGCGAAAGGTAAAGGTACTTAGAAAACTGAACTAGTGAACTACCGAAGAGTGAAGAATGAATAGAGATAAGGTAAAGTTTGGCGGTAAAATAAACCCCGGATGAGACATGATTGATAACGAGCTGAGATTGGTGTTATCAGCGGACAGCAGCCAGCCAGCGCCAGCCCCAGTCATTGTTGGCGGCACTGGGTTCGCACCTCCATATGGTACTACGCAAAATGGCGTTTCCACGATACGCCATACGCATAGTACGCGTACTGCACCGACTGAACTACGTGCGGGTTCTGTAAGTCGGAACCCCTATACACCCGATTACCACCACGGTCGGACTCCCACATCATCAGTCGTGCTGCTGGCTGGTGTTGTTATTTTTCTGCGTGCGTGAAATGTTATTTTGTTTTTCTTGACAAAAACAGAAAAAAAATGAGCCGTACAAATAAGTTTAAAATTATCTCTTCTTGAATTCGGTCGGTCCTATCTGCACCGCTCTCTCTCTCTTCCTCTCTCACTCTATCACGCTCTCTCTGTCATTATCTTTCTTTTGTTTTTCAACACCAACAATACACAGTACACACACGGAAGCGATTGGGCTGCCGTATTCCACAGGATGGACGCGGACGTATCGAAAAGGTAAAATAGATAATACCTAAACGTTGTTGTGTCGGTTGGACGGAACTGAATCGAAAAAACGGAACGAATACGCGCGTCGCCGTTGTGTTCGAGTGCCGCTACACGTCTCGCTTGGGATTTCGTAACCAACGGGACCGAAAGTAAAATTATAACTCGCCGTTCCCCGACGAACGGATGTGTAACAACAATAACAATTATCGCGGTCCGTCGTCGTTCTGGCTGACGTGACACTCGCGATTCTGCATTTCGGCCATCATATCCATTGTGGTCAATTGTCGCTCCGTTTAAATTTCTTGAGCGACGCATTCTTATTTTTTGTCATCCCTTCACAACCACTATCACTTGTTGTTGCTCATCGATAGTCTCCTTAATATTTTCTTCATACACTTCTTGTGTCCCATGATAACTGCATAACTACGACAACATAATGTCAAGGTATGTTAGTGCATTTTAATTTATAAGTATAGGTAAGTCTAAACGCCTATCAATAGTATTTTCTCTGTTTTTACTGACTTGACAGTTTTTTTTTTAATTTGGTTTTAGATGTAGGTAGTACAATGTTGATACATCAAATATTCTACCTACATGATACATGTACAAAATATTCTTATCAAATGGAATTTTTGCGTACAATTACAACCACAGAGAACGTAGTGTACCTATGCATTGTTTCATTTGTATTATTATGTAGATTATTATGTGTCTGAAATTTGAGTAATAAGCTTCCCGAGTTTAACATTGTGAGATAACTTTATTTTATCTTTATACTTTCTATTTTGATCTTGTAATTACTATTAATTAATAGTACCAATTTATCTGTTCAACTTCAAAAACAAATTGTATTGTGTATGCAATTTGTTATTCATTAAACAATAGCATCTATGAAAGTTTTTCCGCCAAAATAATTGAACCTATACCTAGGTAGCCTATATTACTTTGAAAATATTTATGTATTGCACATAAAATATTAAATTTATGAATCATATCAATGAATGATATCAATGACATTATACAAAATAAGTAATAAAATTGCAAAATGTTCAAATAGGTACTGATGCAAAATACATACATTATCTATTAGCTTCTACAGAATGAATTTAAAGTGTATTTATTTATTTTTGCTATTAATTACTTAATAGAAATATACTGCAATAGGCTACAATATAATACTTTTAATTAAAATGTATCAAAGCAGTGTTCAATACATTACAATTGATATATTAGTATAACAAATTGTATTAGAGCTTTAGGCTGTACAATTCTTTAATTTTAACAAGTCAAATAATGAAATGTTCCCACATATTTTCATGTTAGCATTTAGAATGTTATATTATTGATTTATTTTAAAATAAATAATCAACTATCAACAGGTGGTATGAAATTTGTTCTTGAGGTTATGTAAAAAAACATTGACTCATCAAAGTATTTTTTGTTAGGTAGGTACTAATTGTTCTTTCAAAAATGTCTGTCTTATATGCAATATAATCTTAGTTACATATATCCCTAAAAGTATAAACTTATAGCATGACAAAGCTTAGAGCTAAGGTATAAATATAACTTAAGAATCTTGTCAAAGAGTATAACTATTCATTTGTTTTTATTTTAATTATTATGCTCTTAAATTACATATTACCTACACAAAAGAAAATACTTTTAACCCTTTGAAGCACCAATTTGTCTTTTTAAATAAATTTTATTGCTAATTATTGTTGTTCTATTTTTAGGGCGAAATGAATTGATGATGGGTTTCCTGTCTTGGTTTTTAACATCTGGTGATAATTTCTGAAATTCTTTTAATTTGTTATTGTCTTTTAGACTTAATTTTCAATCCTTAAAGACCTGTTTGCTTTTAATTTCCATTTAATCAATTAAATTATCCTTGTCCAGTCTGCTCAATTCATTTTTATCAATGGCGGATCAGTTAAGTGAAACTAGCACTACAACCACTGATCACGGCGATAATTGGCCAAACAGAAAACTACCAGCAGAGAATGATGTTTCTGATGATGTTTCTAATGGCCAAGAAACCCATAGTTTTGCTGATATATTAAGCACTGCATTCACGGCCACTGGACCTGTGCCAAGCCCACCAGCAAATACAGAGTCAAATATGCAGTTAGGTAAGTTTGTTCTACATGATTTTCATTATAAAAATGTTTTATTTTATTATTTTCTTAAACTAAACTATGTATAAACACTATGACTTACCTGCATATGTTGTGTCAATCTAACAAACGCATAATATAACAAAATGTACGTCCAGTAGTTGCAATTTTGTGTATTGTGTGGTTAATTAATATTAGAGTAGATTGACCTATTATCAAACTTAAATGTGTGAACATCTGTGTTATTGGTTTTTTATGATATTTTAATTTGTAAAGGGATTAAAATACACATGTTTTTCATACATTTTAGATCCTATTTTAATTTTCAATATATGCATGAATTCTTTGACAAAATATTTAGGCTTTAAGAAGTCAATTTTCACTTTTTAAGGACATTATAGTTAAGATATTTTTTCAAAAATTCCATGAAATAATTGTATTTCTATTTATTTTGGGCATATCTGATTTTAAATCAAAAAGGCTATTCCTAAAGAGCATATTCTAGAAGCTCATAGATTCAACTACTTTTCAAAATTACAATCGGACTTTAGGAAGTATGTTTAATTTACTACCGCTTTAAGTAGTTTTTATAGATATGCAAACAAGAATATATTTAATTTTTTGCAATGTATTGATAAGTATTTCAAAGCATGTATTTCTCCTTCTTAAAACATGATATGCTGGAGCCCCCTTGAATGAGTTATGAGTGTGTAAAATATTAATATTTGAAAATGCTCATTAGTCACTATAAAATTAAAATATTAAAAAAGCCTATAAGATTCCCTAGATAATAATCTTGCCCTTAAATTGTATAAGAGGTAAGTTCACTCTAATTTTAGACTAACTGGGCTAAACGTGATATACTGAGCGTACAATTTGCTATGTTACGCACTTGTAAGACGGAGACAACACAAGCAGATTTCTTGTCCTCTTATGTTAATATGGTTAAGGAACATATCCTCTTCTCGACCATTTTGTGTCATAAAATACTTTTTCTCTCAGTGTTTATTTTATGTACTTCCGGTTATTAGTGCTGTCCAAATTCATAAAATAAATTAATAATTATACATAATTTTTCATATTCTATTATAACTATTATAATTAAAATTACTTAAAAAAAAAATCTGGGAGAATATGTTTTATTCAATCAAGATACCTAAACCTAATAGATAATGATTATTCAATATAAAGTAATACCTGTTAATAAATATTGTTATTTTTAATTTCTAATAATAGAAATACTTAAGGATACCTATTGCATGATTGTCAACATTTTCTCAATTAATAGTGTTAATTAAATTGTTTTGGTTTCATTTAATTATTTCTTGTTAACTGTCTTAATTAACTTATTCAACAAGTTTGAGGTACAGTGGCAACACATTATACTATACCATATTCAATTAAAACAAATACCTATAGCTATTTCAATTAAATTTATATTTAACTAAATTTCAAATAATATATTTCCTTTGTTAATAAAATCCAAAACTATGACTTAAACAATTCCTTAGATATGTTTAAAAGTGTGTTACAATTATTGGTATTAAATTTTAAATCAAATCCTATTTATAGTTCTTTGAATCATTTATTTAAGCTTTTGATGTTAAAAAATTAACGCTCTTTTAATAAATATTGTTATTGAAACAATTAAGCTACAAAGTAAATAGTGTTATAGTTATTGCTTGCTATAGTCTGGGCCAGGCAAGTAGAAAAAAAATATCCTGGTGTTATCTATAAAGTATTTGTTCAAAATATAAACTGCATTCTGTTAAATATTTTTACATATTAGTTATTACTCATAAATTATAGCTGTTTAAAAAATAATATTAATTGTTGTGTTGACAAATTATACTGTCAACTTTCTGCCCAGAGTTTCATAAAACCTCCTAGCTCTGGCACTGACAGTAATGCATGAGTGACAATTTTTTTTAGCATACCTACTTAGGCTGAAATTCGCAATTAATTTCTTTTTAAATAATTAAACCGTCATAAAGTTATAAGCATTTATTTAAAATTGTTATTAGGAAATGAAATGGATTATGATCCATTATTTGCTGATGGGAGCGATTTAGAGACTGAAGATACACCACAAGAATTCTCCCCATTAAACTCTGATATATGGCGGTATGGAAATACTCTTATAGAAACACCTTGGTCTGTACCACGCACTGATGAATCATCCAGTCGAACTGTTAACCATCCAGTTCCGTCTACTCCAACGTCATCTGAAATGGGAAGAAAGAGGTACTTAAAAATAAAATAAATAAACATGTTTGTTTAATCTCTAATTTATTAATTATTTTTTTTATATTTATTATATATCCATTTTGTTAGATCATTGCTT